ACTTTCGAATCGTGCAAATAAATATAACAATTTTGTTACGCGCCTTTCATAAATTACAATCCTTCTTAAACGAAACAATTCTTTTCCGCGAATCAAAAGCAGCTCCCATAAATAATCGAAAGCGTTCAATTGTTATTCATTGTAAATTCCTCGTGTCCTATCTTCCCTTTCATCTGGCCATTTAAACGAAATTTATTCACCGTTCGTTGCCGATACGACGTTATGGTGTGTTATGCTCGTCATCTTACACCATCCTGCGCTTTCCTTCTTTCTCTTGAACCTCACCTGTGATGCTTGCGCACCTGCTCTCCTGCTCCGTACTTCTTTTGTTTCAATCATCGTCTCTCTCGCCGCGAGACTTATCTGATTGTTGTCTCCGACTTACCTACCTCTGTTATCCTTCTTTAACCTTATACCTAATCCCTCTGTTTTTCTCCATCGACAGTCTGACGAGAATCGATCTATCGGCTCGACTTCGAGGAACTGCATTTCAATGTAAAGATTTGAATACTTATATGGCGCAGTTCCTATCCATCCATCGTCCAGCGTCTATCCTGATAGGGAAACTAAATTGTAGAACTAGCAATAGCTGTGTAGCGATTTCTTGTATTTACTATTACGATGAAGTCGTTTTTTTACTTACCCACAATATGTATCCGTTAGGTCCCACACGAATGAATAATTTATTAATGAAATAGCGATTGCACACTGTCAGATCGTTATATCGTATTTATTAACTCTACGTTTCAGCATTGTACCTGCTACCTCCATGGGGTTATACATAAATTACAAAACGTATTTATGTACCTTAATGTTACTCTATAAAAATCCCACACGTTCAACTTTATGAGCCCGTTTATTATTGTGGTTATGTTTGCTCCTCGAGCCTGAACTGAATATAAAGACGGACATTCAATCTTCAAACTGAAACGTAGTTAATCTATAAGATTTATGAAAGTTCGAGCAGTAAAAGCCGAGATAACTAGTGTTTAACGTTTGATTTATAAAAAGTAGGAGAACAAAAAAAGAGAAAACATGGTAAAGACCATCCACCATTATTGAACTTGAGCAATTATTAAATTCATAACTATTACGCGGTTAATTATACGAGGTGTTGTTTTCTAAATGGAAACGTGGTGCCCGGCCAGATTAATCCACAAGACGTCCATCGACGCATTATACTCGGTCTTCTACCAATCATTGAAACGACTTCAAACGAGATGATTGATTCTTTTTAATGAAAAATATTGATAACGTAAGAAGAGCGTTTAAATCACCGTTAATCACCAATTACGATTCCAAATAATTTTGCTTGAATATAATGTTAACCCCTTATCTATAAATACTACGACTATTACGTTTCGACCCTCTTCAGCATCTGAATTTCCATCGAGTATGTTATTAGTTTGTAACCCGAATATCAATAAACCGATTAATCGGTCGTGAAACGGTATTAAAAGTATAATCCCCGTAATTAAATCCATTTAATCGCTTATTATGACTAACAATTAAATTAAACATTACTCGTTTACGTCTATTGTTAATTAAATTAATGGTTATTGATTTTTTAATACAAAATGAACGAGTAGGATAAGCGTTTTAATCGGTAAATCAATTTAAAAGAATTAGAAGTAAATCTTATATCGTTAATTATTATCTGTTGTTTTAATTGCAAAATTGGCTGTTTTTAATTTTCTCCACAATATACTACAAATAAAAAAATGAAATTAATCGAATAAGAATTATTTACATTTAATCTGTCGATGTAAACTGTGTTTACTTCCTAAGGTGTTGTAGATATTTCTAGTATTAATATTCCATTTAAAAAGTATTCACTATTATTGGCACAGCGAAATGAACAATAGCAAACAATCGTATTTAGTATTCTACGAACTTCGCTTTTATTTTGGCGCGTGTGATTATCAATTTACTAGGCGAATTTATTCGCGTTCGATATATATTTTTTTCTCTCGATGTTCCCCGCAAATAAAAGTCGAGTGGTACGAAACGTGGCGATCCCCGTGGCTAAAGTATAGGGCCCCATTCGTGGGACAGTTCATACTCCTTTACTGCAGCTCGGGCATTCCCATTGCAGAAACCATAAACGAGGTGCATATTTGCATACTCTCGATGAGGCATTTCGATATGAAGTCTAACAACTTACTAATGGGACTCGCGAAAATTGCCTTCAAGGTGTTTGACGACCTTGCTGGTAATCACAGAACCCATAAACAGCATACTGTAATGATTCTTAAAATGAACCCCAGGTATGATTCATAAGTTGACTATTTCTAATTTCCTCAAGTGGTGGGATGAAAAGTCTTGAGAGTAATTATTGTATGGCAGTAGCTGTCAAATGATGACATTTCGTAGGAGGACAGAAAAGGAAAGAAGTAAAATGTTTGTTAGTATCTGTAAATGTTTATGAGGATGTGTTATTGTGGTTTCCCTTGGGTTAGAGCTCGAGGGAAAAGTTTCAAAAACCTCGTTTGCATGCATCATGCAATGAGTGTGGTGCTGTGGACGGTTAGTTGACGAGGATATTGGGAAGTCGTTCGAACGAATGTATAATTTGAGCATCTTCTTCGATAAAGACATCTTTTGAAAATATCTCGAGATCTAATAATTTTTTTGCCATGGTACTCTAACCATTTTTTACGTAGAATGAACAGAAGAATCGATCTGCGTAAAAAAAAATATGCATTTCTATTTAAAGAAATGATGCAATTGTTAATTGCACATGCACTGCTGCATCTAAAAAAAATTTAAAGGCCTACAGATACAGTGGTCTTCGAACCATTTATCTTTCTCCTTTGGCATTTTTTCGTAAATGCAATAATAACGGAGTTATGACTTGAAACAATCGCGTGGACCACCCTGTATAGCAACCGAGCTATACAGGGTCGCTCGAGCGCTTGTGAGAGCGCGACCCCTCTGGTGGCGAGCATGGGAGGCGACGTCACAGATCTATGTTTCTATAACTTTGTTTTCTTATACAGTCGGCGTCTGGCAATCGACTGCCTTAAAGGCTTGAACGTCTAGTCAAAAGTCTAGACACAAACGCAATATGAATTATGTCCATCACGCGCGCAAAAATGTCTACGGAATTTCAATTTGCTTTCGAAGGAGATAGACATTGCATAGAATATGTTACAAATTATTTCGTTTTATACGATATTAATAAGAAGAATTAGAAAAGGGTTTTTTAAAAAGACAAGACAAAAAAAAACAAAAGACAAAATATGAGATTTATCCAATCGTAGATCTTGATTAATACGAGCTCAAACAGTACGATATTCAATTTAGAGCAAATTCTAAAATGATAGGCCGCATTTAATGCGTGGCTCGTTCTGACAGTAGCAATTTAGGAAAAATAATAGATACAGAAAGAGAAAGTATTTCAATTCGAACTCCTTAATTCGCGCAAGAAACAGTTTTTACGGCACAATCGATAAACAAATTGGGAATGACGCTAAAAAAAATTGGAAGACATATTCTAAATTATGATGGTTCTGAAAAAATAAATGTCTTCGCGCTATGATAGTTTAGTAAAATACGTATTTCGTTTGAATTAGAAGCAGCTCTCGAATTCAGGTATTTGAATAATGCAATTAAATTATGGGATAAATGGGGAAGATCCTTCGACTCGTTGTGCAAAATCGTCAACCATCCATGTTGCGTATCCGTTTGGCCCTGCGCGGCCATTAATGCGTAAATTGCGTATTTCACGATTGAATTCATTAAAGGAATCGATCGATGAGAAAAGAAATTAAAATATGACCAGGACATCGTGGTCGTGACTCTTGGGGCGTTCGTGACTACGCGCGAAACGAGTTTTCCCTCGGTACTCAGGCCAGGCTTATTCGCTATTAGAGGCCAATTAACGAACGGAGCAATTGAAATTCTGTGTATGTAACTAATCGTCGCTTGGCCGAGGTCAGTGACGCGAATCGACGTGGCCTGAGACAGGAGTTAAGGAAATTACACGGGAATTATGGGAAGGACTATTTGGACATGGCACGATCGTTTGGTAAACACGCAATCGTATTCACGGTGTACCACGTCCGGCTTCAACCGATGACGCAATGCTTCCGTCCGGTTAGAGGGCTACCATGCCTCTGGACAGCCTTTCTATTCCTAGAGGAACTACAGCGTATTTAAAATACATTCAAGACGAATGATATTGCATGATATCATAGGGGAACTAATCAATTTTTATATTTCGAAGTTTCGGTAGCGATGGAAAATTGTCGGTTAGATCACTGAACCGAAGGAGGGTGGAATAATGCATCGATGTATGTGCATGACCACCGGACGAAGAAACTAAATTTATACGAAAGCTTGTTGAAATAGAAGTGGATTGCAATGTTATCGGTGTACTAGAATCTAGGCCACTGTTACGTAAGGATTATCGATAAGACTGCACAATCGATTAGAATTTTTCTTCCGTATTACCTGTGAAACTGTGTATTTATTAACGCACGTACTCAACAAACAAGAGAAATTTGTAGGACAAGGTTCACGAAAAAATTAAATTCAACGAAATAATTTTCAAATAGGACAACTATATTTATAACAACGGTAGCAGAAATTGCAGCGATATCAGCACCGTCTGTGAGGGTTAGGTTAGGTTAAATAATAAATAAAGTCTTTCTAACTCTGATACGTGTTATTCGATTTAAATGAAATTTTTCCATGTTTGTGTAAATTTCAATTTGAAATATGTCATGGTTCGAACACTTTGACGAGCCTGTGTACGATAGCGAGAGTCGAGCAGATTGAGATAATTCAGCCCACCGGTGTAGACGATCCCCCCAACCATTGACCCAACGCGTAACGAAAGTTTGAAACGTTAGCAAAGTGGCCGGTTCGAATTAATTTCAGCGGGAACGCGGGTCTCGGTGCTTCCAGGTTAATGAGCGAAACGTACCGTACGTCACGTGACTATCACGCAATCTCAATCTTCGCAGGCTCACCAGCTTTCCTGACACATTTTCTAGGTGGCGAACCTCCAGGCACAAGAAGCATCGTGGCTTACTCGTGGGCGCGGAGATTGGCACTCGATTACAGACCTTCCAAGGAGTGCGACGGTAATGGAACGTACGGAACGACGTTAAATACGTTCAAGTTAGCCGACGCGAAGTGGCTCGAGACAATCCCCGGACAGCTCTTCCTGTACAGCGCCCACTTGGACCTACGTGTGGCCGGTTATCCGAGCCTGAGGGTGATTGGCGTTAAACGTGGACCTCTGCCGACCTCTGGTCTTTTCTGCACCGTTTGGTGAGACATTTTTCCCCCCCTATTCCCGATTCGCGCGTTTTATTCCGGCGTTAACGTTCCCCGTTGCACCATCCAGAGCATCCCCAGCGGTCCGCATTCCTCGCGTGCTTCGTTGCGCAACGCTCTACCCTCAATAACCTAACGACGCACGCCACGAGGAATTCCGGAACGCTTGCTTTTTTTTTCGTCTCCCTGATTGTCCACGGAGGGCCTCTGGGAATCGAGAACGGGGAGATTCCGTATGGAAATGATAAGAAATTAAAATTTTATTGCCGCGGGTTTCAGTACCGAGAAAATTGATTTTGAAAATCGTCAACTTTCGATAGTTTCACGAAGTCTGTGTGGAAGAACACGCTTTTAAAAATAAGCAAAATATTCTCCCACGACACGATCGATGTTTCACTGTCGATTTAAAGTCGAGTCCTCAAAAAAATCAATTTTTTTTATTCCATTTTTTGAACGTAAATAAACTCTTAGTTTCGTAGATGTAGAAATAGATATTCACGTCGTTCTGGAATCTGCGTTTCTTTCCAGAGGCGAGTACACCCCTTGTAACCATAATTCCGCACGAATGAAATATGGTTTTGCGTTATGGATGAACTGCCTCGCTGACACGCCATCGTTCAAAGTTTTCTAAATTTTCGCGCGCGCGATGTTCCTTTGTCAAATGTACGCGTACCTGACCAATTTTCAAAATTGATTTTTACAGAAACGATAAACTAAAACGAACAATTTTCATACCAAAGAGAGAATACGGACGCTATTGAAACTGGGCATAAATTGAAATAGATTCCTGAATATCATTAGTTTGAATAAAAAAGAAGAACGTTAAATATTAAAAAATTTCACCAACGATCGCCAAATAGTAATCAATAATCATGAAAATGTACTATATATTTTTGGTGTAGAAAATAGGAAACAAAATAAAATTAACGTCCCAGGATTTGAACCTGTGTTCTTAATTATATTACGTTCATCTGGAATTTATTAAAAGTATTATAAATTAGACCAATTTTAGCGAAGGGAACACTCGAGAACGAAAAATTCGATATATAGAATTTAAAACAGATATATTTCAGATTTTAATATTTTACTCTTCTGATCAAAAGGATTGTTTATAAATGGTCAATTTCAATTGATCGTGCCCTATACTGTAAGCACCGTGTCACCACAAAGACTCTGTTCCGTTGGTAATCTCCCCTTGTTAAAATCACCCTCTTTCTGGTTGTACAAGAATTTCTGACCCACTGTGTGAGGACCCTTTGATAAAACCGAAGGGACTTTTGTGCTAGGGTGTTCTGATCTAACTTTCACCCTACTCTCTTTTCCCTTTGTTGGTGGATGGCAGCAATGTCATAATTTGCACGATTATGGAGATCCCGTTGTGGTTGTTTGGTAGAAAGGCGAAGAATCTCCCATGCCCGATTTGGCAACTGAGCAGCGATTTTTGCTTGTTTGTTGTTGGCCAGGTACGAAGAGGATAACAGAGGCAGAGCTGTCAGCGTGGAGGCGCTGGTCTCGACGATTTGGTTGAACGAGTGGGGCGAAACGGTGGACAGCTACGCGGGCGTCCTCGTCGGCTGTCAATTATCCAGGGACTCGGTTCTCGAGCCGTCCAGAGTGTACGTGGGCCCGGACCCCTGCCACGAGAATGCTAGTCATAGTTTAGCGATAAGCCCGGTGAACAGAAACGACGGGGAGGAGCCGCGCAGGCAGTTCACCCTGTGCATAAAGGGACTGGACTTCGACGAGGACATATCCTCGAAGCTGGTCGCGTTCGTCGAGCTGCACCGTATACTCGGCGCGGAGCTATTTTACTTTTACGTGTTCAACGTGCACGAGAACGTGCTGCGAGTGCTCAGGCTCTACGAGCGATCGAGCCTGATCAGATGGTTCAATCTGACGCTGCCGGGCGATCTGCCGAACGAGAAGAACGCCAGGAGGCGGCTGCTCGGCGAGGACATCTGGATCAAGAGACGGATGGAGCTGATACCGTACAATCATTGCTTCTACGAGAACCTTCATCGATCGGAGTTCGTGTTACCTATCGACATCGACGAGACTATCGTGCCGGTCGGTAGACGGAACTGGTACGAGCTGTTGCTCGACGAGAGGATCAAGTTAGGCAGAAGCTTCAAGGATTTCGCCTCGTACGCCGTCAGAAACGCTTACTTCTTCCCCGAGCTGCAAACCAAGAACCGGACCGATCACACCGCCGATCTCGATTACCTGAACACCATTAGGGCCAGTTCGATCTCCCCGGAAGGTGACTCGGTGAAGAGCTTCGTCTCGACGAGACGCGCGTTGACCGTGCACAATCATTACGCGCTTACCACGCTGAACCCGTCGACGAGGCGCGCTCACCACTTCGACCCCGAGGACGTGCTCAAGCACCACCACAGAGCTTGCGACGACAGACACTTGGACTGCGATCTCCTCATGGAGGACGTCAGGGTCGACGAGTCCGCGTTGAGGTACGCGGACGAGCTCAGAGCGAGGATCAAGGTCTTTCTGACCGATCTCAAGGCATTCGCGTAGATCGAGAAAGCATTTTGTAAATAAACCAGTTCCGTTAATTCATTATCGCTTGTTTTTCTTCAGTTTTATCGGAGGTGTCTTTCCTCCAATCCCAAAATACATCGTTGGCTCCCACAAGGTTCGCGAAGCCGATTATTCATCAAATAGAAAAGAAAACACTTATTTGCCAACGCGATAATTCATTAACAATTCGAATATATAAACAAAACGAGTCAACCTTTGTCCACATTTTTTCGAGAACTTTTGTTAATCCGACAAAAAACTGTTTCCAACAAAAGTATAAGCGTAAACAAATATTTTACGTCTGAGACGCCAGCACGATGAAAATTAATTTCCCTTTCTTCTTTCATCGGGCAAAGACTGATAAATTCATGTTTGCTTCGTTCCCGCCACAATGTCGAGCATACTCGTTGGGTAGGCGGAACGATCCGTGCCGGATAATTTAATCCCGTTGAAATTAACTACCTAATTTTTCTAATGCACGGTTAATAGCATCCTATATATCAACGACACTTGCAACTCAGCAGGACTTCTAGTTCTATCACTCCTAGTTTATTGCATCTAACCCCCCGGCTTTTACGATTCCATAATTCTAACCAGTTTTCCTTTCCCTTCTGCGCGTAAAGCACCCCAAGTTCCATGTGCGATTTGCATTGATTACATTCTATTCATTATATACGATAGCTCGTTGATGTGATTCCACTGTTCCTCTATTTTACCGCTTTATGAGTTGCGTCGTCGGTGTTTGAGGTTTCTCGTAGGAGAAAAGAGCAGTCGGTTTATAACGAAACGCCTTAATGGTAGATGGAAACATGTTCAGAGGAACGAACTTAAAAAGTTGAGAGTAGAAACATCTTTATTGCGATAGTACCCTCTCGAAGCTGGCAGTAATGGTGAAAACACATCATCGACCACGCTTATTGAAAACTTGATAAAAACTTTACGTAGTTTTATTTCTGCGACTGGTTTCCCCGATCCTTGTAAAATGTTTTCAAAAATTTAGTGGTTCAAAGCCTCGTGAATAGAACTCGGATAAGGAACTCGGGAGGATCCTAACTGTATCATTTGGACTTTAACGATCTCTTTTAGGAAGATAGTTTGTTTGAAATATTAGCCGCAATTACTTGATATAATTAATTAAATTTATATTCTTAACGATGTAATGTAAATATGGTTTCTGACGTTATAGTTTCTCTTTTCCTCGTGACATTTTTTGCAAAAATAATTCTTTCAGGATCATTTGAAATTTTTTAATAACCTTTTAACGAAGCGTCGATCAAGAAATTGATATTCTTAATTTTCGTCTTATTTCGACCTCTAGGACCTCCGGTCGGAATTTTTCCCACGGGTGGCCGAACACCCTGTACAGAGTATAAAGAAACACCATTATCAGCAATGGAGTTTTTGTAACAGAGTTTATCTACGTTTACAACTTAATGGTAGATAGATGAAGCAACGAGCTAAAATTAAGGGTGGGAACATATTCTTTATTGGGGCAACGTCCTCTCGAAGCTAGCAGTAATGTTGTAAACGCATCGCCGAGCATCCTTATCGAAAACTTGATAGAAACTTTGCGTAGCTCGATGGTCGTTTCCGTTTTACGACTCCACCGTCTGCAACTGTCCTCGCTGGTAAGGGGAACCGTGCACCAACTTTTTTTATTCCTTCTGAAGTGTAAGCAAGAATACTCGGAATAACCTCAGAAAGTAACAAGGAGCTTCTATCTGCCATTAACGAGAAATAAATTTTTAAAGACGGTAAATTTCAATCGTCGAACACCGACCGTGCAAATTGAACTCTTGTCGCCAAACTGGAGCGGCGCAGTCGGTGCTCGACTTCGAGCGAACGGTACTATCGCAGTCCTTGCATTCAAACCGTTAGATTCTTTAACGTATTTCAGGGAACGTAGGAAATACACGAAGAGGATACACAGCGCAGGAATTTTGGTCCAAAGAACGTGTAAGACAAGATTGCGTACCAGAACGGACCCATAAAAATCGACCAGCTCGAACGTCTTCGAAACTACTGCTGGCACAGAAACATTTTTCTGACAAACGATCAATGATTTTTCATAAGTGGCCGCATACTGGGAATATGAAGTTTATATTTTCGATAAATCGGATCATACATTTTCTAATGCGGTAATAAATGCAATTCGTAATTCCCTTGTAAGCTTCTTATGACGGGAAATCGTTGATTTAGAAGATATTTTGATTTTAATATTGTAATTGATGGCATTAGCAGTGGAATCGGGCACTACCACCCAATAGTAAAGTTAAAATATTTTCTAAATTAATAAATTTTTACCGCGTCTGGCTCAGTACTTTTCGTCGTACCGATTGATCTATTAAACAAACAAAGTTGATCTTCGTATCTACGTGTACTATTGGAAATAGGTGGTGGAATAAAAAACAATTTCATCGAAATTCCTTTTAACTAAGCTTTAATATTATTTGAAACACTTGGAAGGTACGTCTGCGCAGTTTGAAAGAAACGTCCAGAATGAGAAGGTCGGCGACGAAAAATTCGTCCCGTATAGTCCGGGCCACGATATAGCGAGGTCGTAAACTCGAGTAGGTGTCAAAGTTTACACGGTTCCAGTTCCCGAAACAAGTAGATTCACAGGAATACGAGCAGCTAAGGGCCTCGGACCATAGTCGGGGCTGTACGAAGAAATGTTTTATCTAGTGTCGCCATTTTTCGAGGTACCGTAACAGGTAAAGGTCTTATTCGAGTCTTTAATATCTTAATTTACCTGCTTATAATATGTGCGTAAATGGAAAAAGGTAGTGCAGTTACGGGCACAGAAAGACATTCAGAAAGGCGCCCTCAAGAGTTTAGTTTACGACCTCGCTATATGGTGGCCCGGACTATACCCTCAGACCCAATCGGTCCTATTCTTCGTCTAAACAAGCCAAGGCAGGGATCACAGCTGCATTGCATAGCTCTTTACTTGTATCTCTTAGTGGTTTTCGTTAAGGAAAGAAAACTTACTCTTTTGGAAGGGACAAACCAACATGCACATTTAGAAGAATCATAAATTACATTACGTACCGTACGAAACCATCCAAGTTTAAACAAAGCAAAGGATACGAGTAAAATATTTAGACGACACGTCCTTAGACCGTTTCGTCGGCTTGCAACGCGGCGAACGACGAACCTGATCCTGGGGATTGTGGAACGAGGTGCTTTGTACGAGGTTCCCATAGTATCTGCAGGAGTAAACAAGGGTTGGATCGCGTTCAGCGGGAGATTCGCGTTAGTGGCGCCCTTGGATAAATCGTACGACGCGCATAAACCGTCGTGGAACTGCGTCCAAGTCGTAACGGAGTTTAATAGCTCATGAGCAAAGCATATCCCCGGGTTTGTTGGACGTGGCGCGGATAAGACGGAATGCTATTTGGAGAAGAGATAAGTAACTTTCGGCGAGGTGCATAAACTTCACCCGAGCTCCAGTGTCGCACACGCGCTGACCCCGCAACGTCGCGGTATTCGTAGTCCCGCGACTCGGGCGGAATAAATCTCGCGGGCAGCGCGGAAATCGAACTTTATCCGACCATCCCCCGCGACGCGAGAAAAGAGATTCGAGTTTTTTTACACGGAAACTTCCGTCGTCGACTGGATCTGCGTCCTCTTGCAAAATTTTCCACGCTCCTCGACGCGAATACAAATACACCCTCGCAATACCAACGAGACTAAATTAATAGATAACGGATTCACTCGCGTTGCGTAACATATTCGATGTTATTTTATTGCATTCGGTGGTGGTACGATCTTTCGTATCAAGCACCTTACGTTTCAAGCTGAACAAAATCGTAACGAATAATGAACGAAATCGAAAACAAAGCTAGCATCAAGTAAGAGGGCAAGTGTCATCGATGCAGAAAGTATCGTATAATGTGTATTCAATTCATAATCACTTTTGTTGCTGTTAAATAGTTATCCACGATATTATAAAACTGACCAACCGACCATCTTGGACTTTTTTCATTCGACGTTGTTCCCTCCGAGAAAGCATGACACGTTTGATCCTATGCGTCAACAAGACTGCCGCCCTTGGTAGAATTATAATAGAAACTCAGCTTACGTTGTTAGCTGGGTAAATGTTTGTTGGCGAAACGGTAGGCCATACATCTCTTCTGCCCATTACAACTGACTCTCGAGAAACCGTCACCGCACTACTGGCTACCCCTATGTAGTTTCATCCCCACGCGCTTACAACCACACACACGCGCTCTGACAGCCACCACTCGGTCGGTCCGACTCACGCTCGCATTCCTCGAGTTCTTATTTTCCTAAACATTTCAATCTCACTCGCCCTCGGGAATTCCTCTCGCTCCTGCGATATAACTGGCAGGGCAGGTTGACCTAATTGATGCAACTGTGAATGGAGCAACCGTTTCCATAAAGCTAAGGGGAGAACATCGTGTGTCGGTTGAACATTAATCTTCCATGAAAAGTTTACGACTGTTGCACAGGTTGTTAATAAATTACACGTTTAATAGGATTCGCTGGATATATTTTGATACGCCGAAAACTTTGTTATTTAATTTTACACTGTTTATCGTCAATGGGAAATCAGAGCATACATATTAGGAATACATTAACGTTATTACTGAATGTCTAACTTGCAGAAATATGAAGCGTAAATTAAATAGAAGATAAAGGATAGACGATAGAAACGAGAAAAATATGCCACGGTATTCTACAATTAATTTCTATAAATGTATCATGAAAAATCCAACCCGTGTAATTTATTATCAGGACTTCTCTTTCAAGTTTCAGCAAGTTGCAATATTCTTGGTAATAATTAACAGCCCTGCGTTTGCAAGAAACATTCCAGATTGTTGCCTGGCGACAAGTGGGTTTATTCCAGTTTTACGTGACACGCAGTCACCATTCCCGACGATTAATGCGTTCAACAAAATCTTACGGACAGAGTCGTAAAAAAAAGGAGACACTAATGCTTTCAGAAAGCAGTTAAATGTTACATACGTTCG